ACACACACACACACACATTGACATTCCTATTTTTACTTCAACTTTACAAAGAAAACAAAGAGCATTAAAGAAGCTGCCAAAGCTGCAGTGTGGGTTTGATGCTGCATCACAGCATTTATTCTGTTTTTAAACATCTACTCAGAGAATCAGGAAGTAACAGCTCAAAATAGCTTCAACAAGCAAAAGGATAAAAATGCAAATAAAGGCAACCCAGAATTCTTTGGTCCACCTGCTGCTTGAACTGCTGAGCAAACAGAGTTCGTCTGAAAAAGACGTTTCCCGATTAGTTTGAGGAGGTGGATCTTTTTTAATCACCGTGGGGCTGACATGGCGGTTTGTTTGTGTTCTGTTAACATGGATGGATCCAGCTGTGAATCATGCACAGCTGCTTTTCCTCACAGCACCCCTGAACCTGTGCTTGTCATCCTCAGCTTCACTCGTATGAAGAGACGTTTGATTTCTGTGTGCATAAATCCAGTTTACAGTGTGAAATAAGACACTGTTAGAAATGAGGTTTTGCTTCACTTTTTAAACAAATGTGTCTTTAAGCCAACAGACCTGGAGCCAAACAGCAGCGAAGCAAACGGCTCACCCACCACACAGCAGGAAACAGCAGTCCCATCAGCTTCTCTGTACTGGCCAACACGCACGCACGCACGCACGCACACACACACACATGCGCACACACACACACACACGCACACACACACACACGCGCACACACACACACACACACACACGAGCAGACTTGGAGCAACAACAGTAAAAGGTAAAGACAAACACAAAGGCAGCTGTGCGCTGACAGGCTTGGCGCCCTAACAGACTCCTTCCTTCTTCTACAGGAAATCAGGTGTCAGTATAAAAGACAACAGGATGTGAGGTCAGCAGAGGGCGGCTCTCCCAGCAGCTGTAAACCACAGCGTCTCCTGCTGCGGCAGGCCTCTCGCCGCCGAGGCCTCGCTCTGTTCCTGTTGTCCTACATCAACATCTGCGGCTTTTTACTTTTCAAAAATAATTTGAGGACAAGTTTCATGAGTAGAGAAAAACGTGTCGGTTTAAATGTTCCAAATATTTTCTGATGAAGGCGAGAGGAGGCTGAAGAATTAACATTCATGATGTGTGACGGGGGGAGGGGCTTATAGAGGGGTGGTTCATGGGACAAAAACAGGGGTCACTGCTGGTCCTCAGGTCCTTCTGAGAGCAGGTAGTCTGTTGCAGTGTGGGACGGTGACGCCTGCTGTCCAGGTGGAGCATCGCCTCCTGTTACCTTTTCTCCTTCCACAGCTGACGGAAGTGATGGAGCTGATATATGCTGGTGGATAACCTACGGAGACACATAGCACCGACACGTCAGACTGCTGGACAGTGCACAGTGACCTGTGGACAGGAACCCACGCTCACACGGAGCAGAAGCATACCTGCCGAAGCCGTTCATCAAGGCCACGATCTCCTGACGAGTAAGCTGGAAGCCTTTGGATGGGCTGTGTTCAGGAAGGTTCTTGATCTCCTTCTCAGAGAAGAGGATCTTCAGAGCAGTACCGAGACCCTGAGTCTGCACACAACACAAACTCTATAACACTTCAGTTTGAGGACCAAGCCTACAAATCACAGACACATGACGGGGAGCATGCGGTCTGATGCACGGTTTGGGGGCAGATTGGCCTCTAAATCACCACGGTGCATTTAAACCCAAAAAGCTTTATTTTAAACAGTTTTATTGCAATAACTCTGAATTACAGACGTTTCTACACAAGCCCAGTTCCAAAGATGCTGCGATGCTGTTACATTCAAATAAAGCATCTCATAAACCTGTGTTTGATTTACAGAACGAGATGTTTTTAGACTGTTTCCTGAACAGCACAGAGGCTGCAGGAACACTGTACGGGTAAACTGACAGTAACATCACGGGCGGGAAAGAGCACACACAGAGCTGCAGCGTGCACACAGCGTGCACACAGCGTGCACACAGCGTGCACACAGCGTGCACACAGCGTGCACACAGCGTGCACACAGCATTATGCTGGATTTGTCTAAAGTTGACATTTGTTCACGCACTGGGACAACACGTGACTCGAGCCCTAACAATGATGTGTTGCTGTGGAAACTGAAGACGTGTTAAGGACACCGTGGTGCGGTCATATATGATGCTACACAGTTACTATTGTGGAACTGTGATTACACTCGGTGCCACGTAGCCTTTTACACCTGAGCTCTAACACGGCGAGTGTGAAGGCTTCTATGGTGGCTCCACATCAGGGGACCTGACCTCCACCTGCAGATCTGAGACTGTGCTGGCGTTAAAATGCACAAACTAGGATGAACACACGCAAAGACGCACCTGCAGTTTCCCCCAGAGGCGACATTTACTGCAGCCCACACAGTCCATGATCCTGGAGATGTTCTTGAAATGGAGACGAAACTCCTCCTGCAACAAGAACAGGACGCTGACTCAGACTGTTGAGAACTACAATCAGGAGCAGAGGTGTGGACTATGACTGCGCTGCTGCTCATGCTGTGCAGAAAGTGACTGAACCCAGGGCAGCAGCAAGCATCATGACACAGTCCTCTTTATACTGCTGACTAACACAGGACCAGACACCTCGTCAAACACACATCACAGAGCATGATGCTCTGTCACAACTACAGGACAACAGAGTGGATAGTACACAGACACACACAGACACACACACAGCTACACCTACAGAATGGAGACTGAACAGAGTTTCATGTGCTGATGTTCATATGTAGACGTAGCAGCTTTAGTTTTTACCTTTAACGTTTTGGCTTCCAGTTTGTGTCCAGCAAACATGGACTTCTCATCGAAGTGCATGGGGAAGGCTCTAGAAGACACAGGTCCAGAAACAGTGATGATGATAATAATAATACTCTACATAAGTAATATAGTATTTATGGCTGCTGTAGGAAGGGTCTGCCTTTGTCTCAATGTGACAGCTTCTCATCTGCTGATGATCGATTTTCCCCCACAAACCTATTACGTAGCAAAAATGAACTGAACTTGTTTAAATGCAAATTCGTCTCTGTTTCCGTCTTAGATCAAGTTATTAAAAGGGAGAGTTTCCTTCCCACTGTCACCCAGTGCTTGCTCATGGGGGTCGTGTGACTCTTGGGTTTTCTTTGTATTACTGTGGGGTCTTTACCTAAGAATAGCTTTGAAGTGACTAATGTGCTTTGGTGCCATGTACATATAATATAACATAATGCTGGTGTGCAGCATCACACAGCATGGACCATGTGGCAGGCAACAACACGGACACCACAGCCAGCGATCAGCGTGATCTTTGGGCTGTGTGGATCATTTAACCTGCTCGTTACCAACATTGTGTTAGCTACAGGCTCGGTCACAACAGCTTTCGGAACAGCGCAATCCTCTACAGGACTGCAGCACATCCGTGGCAGCCATGGAGGGAGGAAGCTATCAGCTTAGCTGGGTGCCGACTCCAGGCGTTTGGGTCTATACTGAGTCGCGGAAGCTGCTTTACCCCACAACATTTTCTTTAAGGGGTCAAATAAGAAAATAAAACACTGATGTAGTAGGTCCCACTAACTTCTGATGGGAGTCTGTAGGAAACAAAACAACCCCACTAAGATATCCATGGGTTTCAGCTCGTGCTGGTCTTGGACTCTCCTGACAACAATCAAGCTCCTCCTTCTTACTTGATCTCGTTGAAGATGTGCAGCAGCAGGTCTTTGGTCTCTCCGTCCTCCTGAGCATTTCCCGTGTATAGGTTGACGATGGCTCGTTCAAAGTACGGAGCCACCTTGTAGAGCGCCCGCAGCTCGATCAGGTACAGGAAGTAGAGGTTTTTCAGGCGTCGCGTGCCCTCCCCCTTTGTCTCTGCCATGTCAAAACGCTGACGAAACTCCTGGACGTTTGGACCCCACACTGAGCGTCCCCATCCCTCTGAAGAGCCAAACAACAACAGCTTACAGCATGAAAAACACCATCACTGAGTCAGTTCATCAGCATAACTAATCCCAAAAGCAAAATGTACATCAGCCGTGCTTCAGCAGATTCTGCTAAAGAGACGTGTACTGTAATGATCCCAGGTCGAGCTCCAGCTTTGGTCAGTGATTTATTTTATTAGTCTGTTACTTAGCAATAACTAGCAGGTGGCTGCTAACCAAGCTAGCTAACATTAGCTGGTATCTTAGCACACTACACTGTCATCCAAATAAAACAATACTGTGGTGGCCATAACACCCAAGCTGTGTTTGCTCTGTATGATGTCGTACCGTCCAGCAGGTACTCGGCACACAGGTGGATGTTGATGCTGCTGTGGAGGCCCGAGATGAGTCTGTAGAAAACTCTCTTCTCCAAACATAAACCTGGAGAGACAGCGATGACAACGGGTTTCTTAAAATCAGAATCCAACCAAGCTCAGCTTAAAGCTTCAGTCCACCCAAAACTGTATAACACTGGGGGACGAGATGTCTGATTTATAGTCCTGCCTTAAACATCAACCAGAACTACAGTAGAACTCTGGACCCGGCGCCACACTACAGGCAGACTTATCCCACAGATGTAACTGTGTGATGAAAACCTCAAAATCTGTAATAAATGTGTTTGGTAGTGTTGGGACATCAGCTCTACTTGTGACGGTGCAGAGATCCAGAAGACCCAGCAGCTCCTGAGCACAGGACTTTAAATAAGGGACATGGACGTGACATGAGAGGCCAGCTTTCATCACAGAGAGGGGGTGTGCTACAACAACTTTAACGGCGTGGAACATCACATCCACAGGAGTGCCTGAAGCAGCATTTCATCACAGCACCATGAGGCGTCCGGCATCTACGCATCAGGCTGTGATGAGCCACAGCTCTGTGTTCTGTGGCCTCCTGTCAGCAGTCAGCCTGCCCACACAAAGTCTTCCAGAGGAAGCAGAGACGAGACCAGTTCAGCTTCAGAACACAGACGCTGAAAACCACAGGAAGTGACATGCCTACTGTAGCTACACAGACGCTTCAGCTTTATGTGATTTACATGACAAAGAATGATAACAGCGTTCTTCAGGTCAGTCTGGGTGGTGCAGGCGTGAGCACACGAGGCAGAACCCACCTTCAAGCCACGTGTAGAAACCTTCCCCTGCAACACGAGCGACACGGACAAGAAGAGTTAGGTTTCAACACGGCTGAAACACATCCAAGTCAACAGAAGTTTAGTTTACTCACCATCATCGTCTCCTGAACACAGAAACAGAAGGAAGGAAACTGTTAGATCGGTGCAGTGATTAGGCATACACATACCACACACTAACCTCTGAACGTATGAGCTCTAGTTTCACACACAGACATCTAAGGTGCACGAAAAATACACTGAAGAGCCTGCGTTTTAATCCAGCTCTTTATTCAGTACCCTGTGACGCAGTATGCAATAAACAGGAGGAGGCTAGCATGCTGAAGCAGGTACACTGATGTGTGAACAGTTAGAAGAGCAACATGACAGGAAGCTCTCAGAAATGCTTCAGTTAGGTCGTTTATACCGACTACTGTCTGCATGTTTGAGAGCCCAGGAAACAGCTCGTGAGGTGCTGTTTACGTCTTTGCTGTAGAAGCAACCCGCTGCTCGCCTCCTGCAGTCTGACTACAGGCCGGTCTTTCTGGAAACGGTGACCGGTGTGGAAGAACCGGAATGGCCTGTGCAGGCACTCGGCTCCCTGACAGCACACCTTCATTCAGGTGGCAGACTGTGTGCTGGCAGCATGACATCACTTCAGTCTGCTATCAGCACAACTGACAGCATCCAAACAGGGACACAACTACTGCAGCCGCGTCTGGAATCCAGACTTAGTTGTCAAATTCATCAGCTTTTTTTGCTTTCCTTACAAACACCTTCATGGCTCCTCCATGACTGGCATTGAGATAAACAATTCCAGACGCGGCTGCAGTAGTTGTGTCCCTGTTTGGATGCTGTCAGGGAGCCGAGTGCCTGCACAGGCCATTCCGGTTCTTCCACACCGGTCACCGTTTCCAGAAAGACCGGCCTGTAGTCAGACTGCAGGAGGCGAGCAGCGGGTTGCTTCTACAGCAAAGACGTAAACAGCACCTCACGAGCTGTTTCCTGGGCTCTCAAACATGCAGACAGTAGTCGGTATAAACGACCTAACTGAAGCATTTCTGAGAGCTTCCTGTCATGTTGCTCTTCTAACTGTTCAGCCGCGTCTGCCGGTAGCAGCTCTAACTTTGATCCTCACCTCTGCTGGGAGCCAGAGGGTTCAGAGGTCGATACACCGACCGGGGCCTGTGGACACAAAAACACATTTTCAGTAGGACCTCAAAGATGAGCATCTCTGTGCAGGGAGCTCCAGGCTTACTTGAAGCAGTTCTCCTCGTAGATGCTGTTCCACACTCTCCAGGCTGACGGACCCTTATATCCGGTGTATCGCTCCGGATTCAGGAGCAGATCCACATACTCGGCATCTGGAGACGTCTCATCTGAAACACATTTCATGGATTAAAAAAGCCTGTGATGGCAGTGGCTCGGGGTCATCATTAGAGATATTTGCTTCTTAGCAGTGCGGCTACAAATGTGCCGTTTAACTGAGTACAGGAAAGTTCATGTAAAGAGCTGGAATAAGGACACATCGTGCCTGTTACAGGTTTGTACTTTGGGTTTTGGTAAATGAGGAATTTGCCCTGGGTGTGAAGTTTGATGCCTCATAGTGCTGCCCTCACAGATACGCAGAGAAAGAGATGCTCACCGTCCAGCTCACAGAAGTGATCCTGAGCGTCGTCGTGTCTCGCCCAGTCAGCGAACGCCTCCTTACTCTGGTTACTGGAACCGGAAAAAATACACACACGTTCTAACTGTGAGCTTTACTCGACAGCTAACAAGACATGAAGACCAAACAGGAGATCACAGTCTGATCACAACGTCCACGTAAATGTTCATTTTCAAACTTTTCTTAAACGTCGTCTCCCATCACTTGATTCTTAATGAAGGATGTCTGTTGACTTTAAACAGTTTCCAGTAAAGGTCACGTGAGTCTGAAACCAGCATCACCCTGCAAAAGCTGCAGGGATGTTTCCCTTACTGCACATGCAAACTCCACATGCACTTAAGTGTGCGTCTGTGGAGTCGCTGTCAGTTTATTACACGTGCCTTTGCTTAAGCCCAGTCTCATCTGCACCTCTGTGTGTGAGGAGGTGCACAAACTGGACACTGGGAGCAGAGACAGGGGAGAAACCAGTGCAGCCAGAACTGATGGCTCAGATCTGTGATGAGCTCAAGCCCATTTCAAATTCCAGGTAAACACAACGAGGTTAAACTAAATGAAAGGAAGTAAGAGAAGCTCAACTTCTCTAAACACTACATGGGTGAGATATTCTGCTAAGAGATGAGACTGGGAGATCACATGGAGGGTTACAAGACGAGCATAAAGTCGCTAAACCAGACGTCTAATAACTGATCCGGATAGAAGGATTCTTTCAATTCCAGAGGTCGACAGCCGCCCTGTGAAAACTGACGCAGGATCAGAATATGCAAAGATGCATGTAAAGGTCCGATTTGTGCATTTCAGCTCTGACGTGTCATCTAAGCTCACTGCATTGTGCTGCGTGGGCAGGGACGACATGAAGGCGCAGACTGCCGTGCACACGCGCAGCACAAACTGTAAATGACGTCACAGCGGCGCTGCTGTTGGAGGAGAGGAAGTGCCAACCAGAACAAAGCAATGATGGAGTGGTTCTTCTTTACCGACGTGTCATTAACACGGAGCAGCGTTCAGTCGTGTGGTCACTGCGTCACGCGAGGTTAGACGGTCTGAGAGGTGCACATCTGGCCACATCAGCGGATGTGATGTGAGTTTTCATCAGGAGATGCTGCCTCCTGCCTCTTTATTTGTTACATTTCAAACCCACGTGAGTAAAGCGGCTTGGTGTTTGTAATGCACCGTCACATCCTGTCTGTTTGCACCAGCCGGTCCGCTGCTTCACAAAGGAACCTCCACGGTTCCTGCAGGAGAGAGCCCCGGTGGGCTCGGTCTGCACTTTGAAGTGTCGCCTGGTGGAAAACTACCAGCAGCTGCCGGTCACACACTGGTAAATGTTTGAGCTGCTGAGGCCCGGTGAAAACAAGCTGCAGATAAAGACAGAGCAGGAGGTCTGTGGACTCACCTCAGGGTGCTGTTGATGGCCCCCAGCTCCTTGGCCTGCTGGCACTCCACCACGTCCGACATCGTATTGGCCGCCTGCGAGTACTGGACACAGGAGGGATTCTTAATAACACTGTTTATCACAGTAATGACACCACTCACATCATCTTTACTTCACTGGGCTCGATAAAAGTGTTCCAGCCTGTAATTATGTAAAATGCTAAATGGCCTGT